GGGCAGCAGAACAAAGAAATGTGTTAGATCCTTTTCACTTTAAAGACACCTGAAGGAATAGGAGCCTTTCTCCCCTTCGCTGCTGTTGTTTTATATACCATTATGACCTTTTCCCTTCATCTATCCAAGATTCCAAGCTAGCTGTCAGAAAATCAAATAAAATTACCTCCAGAGCTGTCAAGTACTCTGTTTCCTGATGTCGAATGATGTTGGTAATGGCTAAGGCTGAATCTTCTGGGTTCTGAAACAAAATGAAAATTACTCAGGACACAAGCAGTTTAATTAAGTGCGTAGAAGGTAAAACACAGATCAGACAGATATGCAATAGAGGCACATATTTCTCAGGATACACAACATCTTTCTTCTTGGGAAGGAAAAGGCGAAAGGGAAATAGTCATAAACACAGCTCCTGCAGCCAACCTCACCAAAGAGATCCATTTAGGAACAACAAAGTCTTCTTTACACAGTCAATGTATGTCCACAAGGCATATGAAATTCACAGAATATAATGGTAATATGTATAACTAAAAATCCCAATAACATTTATCCGAGTGTGTATTATGTTCACAAGTAGCACTGTAAGGTGTGTACGCCCACTAAAGATAAGCAATAGCATAGCTTACTAGGGAGATAGCTCAGAAGGATAGCTCCAAGAGTGTGACTTAGCTACATCCTCTCAACGGTAGTATTATTGCAAACAGATCAACCAAACAAGTTATGAAGTATAACTCTGAGTAAGCCTGAAACCCATCGCTTGGTGAGAAGCTTTCATTAGTCAGAACAACAGGTCTTCAGAAAAGAAATCCAAGATTCTCCTCAACAATGACTAGCATACCAATCCATAGGTACGAAATGACAATGCCCTAGCCAGATATTAACATAACATTGAAAGAAAACAGATGAAAAATATTAAATCTTAATTTACCTGTAGTAGAGTTGAATCACTGCATTCATGATTTGCATCCAACTGAACATTTCCCTCCTCAAAGTAATGAGCCCCTACCTAAAAAAGTTAAATAAATAAGAATTTCAGAACCCATTGATCAAATTTCAAGTAACTTTTTTCATTTAACAGAAAATATGAAAATTGCCCCAAACCCCAATTCTATCCAATTGCAAGTTGCAACTACCTGCAATTTGCCTCGTATTTCCACCATTTGATCCTCATCCTTGAACTCAACATTCCATATCGATCTCCAACTTCCATTGCTGTGTGATACACCAAAGATACTTTAGATCAATCATCAACTGGAAGATAAGCTCCAAAAGATTTCCACTTGGGGGACCATCAATTGAGATGTATCAAGAAAATATTACATGATTTGATACAGCTCTACAGAAACATATATGAAATACAAAACATATAGAAATTTAAAATCTCATCCCAACCTAAGTATAATGCAAATTACATCTTCAGTTGTTTTTTTTAGGAACATGACAATAGTATTGGATTTTAATAATATAACGAGATGCTAAGAGCTAGAGAGATAAGGGTACTACAGGCTTTCTGAGACACTAGGCGACTGCAAAATGAAATTTAAGAGCAAGGTAGCTGTTTCTCTTTCTATGCATTAGATATAAGGAAATTGCCATTTTGCACAGCACCCACAAATGTTTCCAGAAATGATGATGAATATCAAATGATATATGCTCTAATCGTACATATATAAAAATGCAACACGCTCAAAATTTCTGATTCAAAACTTAGCATAGGGACTTCATGAACGGAGCTCTAGCTAGACCTCTAAATTTCACTGACTCGAAAACATAAGGTGGACTAGACATGTAATGCTATCCGAATTAACATCTAAAAAACAAGAAAAGAAAGGGTAAAGCCTGGAAAGCAGAGAATAATAGTAGCTCTTAAGGAAAATAAGTACAGATGAACTCACCAGAAATTATTAGGACTAAGCCTGGCGGCAGAAATAACCACAACTAACTCAAAATCAGACCCTGGTTCTTCCACATCTTTTCCCTTTACACAATAAACTGCAGAGAACCCTTTTGGATAAGCTTCACTAGCATATTTCATGACTTCAGCATCCAAAGCACATCTGTAACAAAAGTCAAAAGATAGAACTGCAGATCAACAGGAGTGATTTAGAGTGCAATGATGAGAAAGGTTTTATATATACTCAATCCACAAGCCAGAATATCAGGGCATGCAACTTATCTAAATCAAACTTGAATTAGAATCTTGAATGCTGGGCTTTAGATACTTAGATTCAATTGACTGTTACGATAAATGAATCCAGTCCCTAGAAGAACACAAAATGCAATCCAACTGAACATTTTCTTGCATATGAGAGATATATGATCCTACTCATTCATTTGATTTGGCTAGAATTCAAGCAGTACTGTTTTAGGAGGTGGCAAGAGCCATAAATTTAAGAAAAAACAAATAACAGCTAATTAAACTTTCAATTCTATCATCACCAGCAGCTTTCAGACTACTAAGAAAAGTCCTGGCTTTACGGGTAAGTTAATACTTCAAAGCACATCTTCATTCACCATGACATTTCTTATTAGAAATCAAAGTACCAAAGTATTTAACCACCTGAATTCCTCAATGTAGGAAGATGGAAGTTCCTCGTCACTAGCAGGTCTCGCCTCTGTACAAGCCTGAGCCAGTTTAGCAAGTTATGATAATTATCATATGAAACATGTATTAAAAAGACAAGTATAAGACTATGAAGCAGAAATCAATTTGACAAAAGCTTACATGCAGACATGCTTCTATCCAATCCTTTAATATTTAAAACTAAACAAGATTAAAATGTAGCCCAAACACCCCGGGGTAATTCCTTTGTAGTAAACAAGCAAAGATAAGTCAAAGGTAAGAATGACAAAGGGATAACATATTACAAAGAGCATAGACATATTTTACCATTTCCAGTTTAGGTTAGTCATAGCACAGGATACATGTGGGAGATGGGTGTCAAAAGGAACAGAAAGCTGAAAAAGAGTAATAAATGCAGAGCAATTAATTAAGACAGACTTATCAAGTTCTTTTCAACAATCCAACATTTAAGAAAAATTGAGGAAATGGACACAAGATGGTCACCCAAAAAGTCCAAGAAAATTCCAGCTTGAGATATGTAATTTCTTTCTTGATCCTTGTTCTTTTAGCGTAAAGGTGTAAACTCCGCACTACGAAGTACATCATATATATTTTTTTAAAAAAAGGCACAATACCTTTGTCATAGACTATAAATTCAAAACAGGGTTAGAAAAGAGTAGCAAATGACAGCAAAGACTCACTTGTTTGACATGATCTACAATAGCAACTTGGGCAGTCCTAGGATCAAGGTACTCATTCTCAGCAACCTCACTGAATGGTGCAATTATCACCTGCAACGAAAGAAGGTCATCAATTTTCATAGACATCACAAGCACGTAACCCAGATGCAATCTACATCTTTTATCTCCAATATCGAAAAATTAACATCAAAATTCCACTATTTGACATTCTTAAACACAAATACCTCAGAATACATCTTTAAAAGCACTCAAAAACGAAAAATCGAAAGAATCAACAAAAATAGAAATAGTATAATGAGTCTTGTTTAACCAAATTAGTGACATGGTGCAACATTTCACACACATCAAACAAAAAGTAGCTCAGCAATTAAATGTCAAATCAATCACACCGATTAACACAAGAATTAAGGTTTACATCTGTGATTAATCTACTTACAGTAATTCCCTCCACAAAAAATACCTATAATTTGAGCGCAATTTCACAATGCAGCCAAATATATCCGAAAAAATTTCCAGTAATAAACCCTAAAACATCAAAAGGCTCAGCATCTAAAACACAAACCAAATAACAATAAAAACAGAATGAAAAGTAAAAAGCTCAAAACCGTCGAAAAAAACACTAACATCACCACTTCTATCAGGAAGCTCAAGACAAATCAAATGAGATTTGTTATACTGAGGAAACGCCTCCAAAGCAGCCAAATTATGCACATTATCATCCTTCAAAATCGTCTTCAAATCTATTATTAATCATCAAAATCACCAAATAAATCACAAAAATCACAAAAAAAAAAAAAAGAAAAATCAATAACAAAGACGACGAAATAAAAAGCGACGAAAATTGGAGAGAGAGAAAACGGAAAAAGACCTTTGAAAATGTACTGGATTTCGCCGGCGGGAGAGTTTAAGAGGAACCATTTGGCAATCTCAATCTTCTGTTTATCGCTAAGTTGAAGGTCAGAGTCATGGTCCGCCATGGAAGTTGAGCTTTCTCTCTCTATGAAAATGGATTTTCTCTCTCTAGAAATGAAAGAGGGGGGTTCAAAGGTGTCGTTGGTTTGAAGTATTGAGTGAGTCTGGGTAGAAAAGTGCGAAGGGGAAGGAAGTAGTAACGTGGGTTTCAAATGATTTCAGCGCAGAATTTGCGACACTTTTTTTTAATTAAATTATTGTGGTGAAGCTTGGGATGGGAGATGGGACTTTCTTTGTCCGTTTCAATTTTTCAAATTTATATTTTAATAATTCAGTAGATAGAGGGATGGGGTCCATGTTCATATAATCCGATATGAATAGTCAAATATGAAGTTGTACCTCCGATTTTGATTTTTATCACGTAGTTTTTATAACTTTGGAGTATTTTACGTAAAATATAAAATATTTCAAAGTTAAAAATAATAAAAATCGGAGGTAGTAATAGTATTGACATTAACGATTTAGATAATATATGTATGAATTAGGCGATAAGAGAGTTGTTCTATGACAAGCTCAGATCTCCTTATGTTCTATAAATTCTTTACTTCAGCTTCTATTCTATAAAATATACTTCGTGTTAACAAGCATCCAATTGAGTATCATGCACGCTCATGCATGGGAGCATCGCGCCACAGTCGCCACCACTAGTTGTACTCTTGAATGTCAAGCAACAGACTTGAGAAGACTCAGATTATATAAAATAAAAAATTAATCAAGCACCTAAATGGTTTTGGAAGCAGCAATATTGGTACGGTGGTACCCTAGTATCAGCTAAGAAACTCGAATAAACACAAAACAAAACTTAAGTACTCAGAAATCATACACTGATACACCATATCCAGATATCCTGCCAACTACAGAAAAAATTGTCTCCAGACAAAGTAGAACAGCAGGAGAAACATATGTTTTACATTCAGAATGTTAAGCTTCAGCATCGTTCATTTAAGTTCTCTAACTTGGCATATTCCTGAGTTTTCAGGGTTGGAACTACAAACTAGGACAAAAACCCCGCTGCCTTCAGGAACAGAAGTAATTAGTTCATATCTACATCTGTCAGATAATCCTATCCTTTATCTGTACAATTTTCAGGGTTACAGTACGCTGCCACTGCTGATGACTGGGAAGAACACCAAGCCAACTCAAGGAAAGCCGCTATAACTAAAGATACTGTTAATTTTGACTTCACTACCAAGTGCTAGCATAAATTCACTTTTGAACCATAACTAGCTTCCAGGTACTGTTTCCATGCCCTTAAGGGATTCAATTGCCGATAGTCCCGGGACACAAAGTTCAACTGTTCTGGTAATACACTTCTTGCAGCAAAACCAATATAATCTGTGGAATTCGTGAAACTCTGGATTCTAGACATAATGCTGCCATTAGTAAACCTAGTCCCTTCATCGAATTCATAAATAAATTCCTCTTGATATGATCTAATCACTTCTTCATTTTGCCTTTCTAGTTCAGACCTTTCTGAGTCATCTTGAGATGATATATAATTATTCAGGCCAAATGACTCCCAATCAACCTGCTGCATGATCTCAGCAGCTCGGTCAATTCCCTTTAAGGCATATTCTTTAATTTGACGAGGTTTCTCAAGGGCCAATTTGTCCACCTGGAGTTTCAGTTCATTCAGTCTCTGGCCTATCCTTGTAGACACAGCATCATATGAATTCCCTCTTGATGCAAGATCTGTTTCTTCGGCATTAAGCAAATCATCAAACTCCATAGGATCGCCAATAAGTACAGTCACCTACATAATTCCACATGCAGAAGCTATTATTACTCATACCAGCAAAACAAATCAACAAGAAAACAATTGCACAAGTCAATGGTTTAAGGAAATGAAACTGCACTATTATTCTCAACATAGCATAACAAACAAAGAATCAATGCTATTGCATTAAACCCTCAACAAAATAATTATTGTTCTTTGGTTTTGTTGGATGAGTGACTAGATAACACACTACATGATGCATACAAAATCTGCAAAGAGCTAAGTTTAACTTACGGTCTTGCCAATCCTTGGAAAGCTGGCTCCAATAGGTATAATCTCTTGCATACCGGTATGCACAAACGGGACTACAATTGGTGTTTTGTCAGCATCCAACACCAACCTGTAAAGGAAAAATCACACACACAAACTATTTAGAATCCTGTCATATTCAGAAGTATAATGAACGAGTGCAAACTACCCATCCTCATTACCCCCCCCCAAACACCCCAAAAAAACTCAAAACATGCATGTGAAGAGCATGAAAAAAATGAGATGCAATGCTTTCTTCTCAAGAAGTATATCATTTACTAGTGTAATGCATACTTCAGATTCTTTATTAGAGGTTTCATATCCTAATATACTAGTCTGAAATCTCTTAACAAGGAGTCCATATGCAAAGCCAATTTAGATGTCCACTTCTTCAAATCCAACTTCTCACTTCACCTACATTGGTAACTGTTTACAGCATGATTCAATCGAAGCACCTCAGTAAACTTTTCAAAAAAAAAATACCCCTGAGGGAAAACCCAATGCAGAAAAGGATATTAAAATGCATTGTAAGAACTAAAGATCTTTATGACATTTTCATTAATTCTTTATCATACTTTCTACTTTCTCACTAGTTAGTACAGTTTCATCTTTACTATGATTGCTTATTTTCTTTTTGGGGGAAGGGGCAAGTTGATATTATGAAGATCCCTCACAGCAATATGAATCAGAATATCAAGACTACAAAGTTTATAAACAACTGGCATAAAGATCTGACCTCCCAACACCCCTCTTGGCTGACCCAATAGTTTTCCCACCATCTCGTGAACGGCTACCTTCAGGGAAGATGTGGACCCATCCGCCATTATTTAGTTTAGATATAGCTGTGTCCAGGCCCTGGAGCAGGCAAAGCCACAGATAAGTAAAACAAGATGGTACAATATTGATCATACATTGTACAAATTACATTACAGTACCAAATGATTTACTATTTAGGAAACTGGTATACCTTCTGGTATATCCCATCACCACGAGAAACTGGCAAAACCTTTAATGACTTGAAGAATGCAGAAGTGACTGGATTTTTGAAGCATCGATCACTCGCACAGAGGCTCCATCTTAAGTTTTGAGCATCCATGAGAACACGTGGAGGGAGCAACGATGCAATCACAAGTGGATCATCCATAGAAGCAACATGATTACTAACCTGCAATGCACAAGGCAATTGAAGGCCACATCAGACCATACTTCTTCCCCTTCTTATAAAGAACCCTCCCCCACTATGCATAGAGCTACAGATATACAACTATATACTTCAAGAAATCTTATTACCTACAAAATAAGGAAGAACGCATAATTTTAACCATAAATGATGATTTATTGACTGGTATACATGATTTTTTTGGCTCATCAAGCTAGTAAGGCCCATATAAAGAAAGCATGAGTCCATGATAGGCCAGCATGGGTGATTTTTCTAAAAATGTCGTGCCAACAGCAATCTTTTACTCAACATCACAATAAATAACGCATCTGCAAAGTACAACAATCAAATTTGTTGTGACTTTTACTATGAGCAATTTTAATTCTAATTTGTTAATAGATTATCTCCTCAGCATAAAGCAAGAAACCAACATAAACAAAAGACCATCATGCACACAAACACACATCATCCAAAACATTCAAATCAAACCTCAGATACAACTCTCTAAATGTAAATCATGAACAAGCGCTCACACAATGGCTGGAAGGAAATACTCTAGGCAATAAAGGAAGATAGAAGGAAACGGTACAAACTGTTATCAGAGGCTTCTCTTTAGATTTATTCTGCACAGTGCTAAGTAACTTCTCTGCACCAAAAACCTGGACACGGTTGAGTCCATGCATAAATACGTGGCAAACATTCCCAAGAACAGGTACTGCCACAGCCTGAACCATGCGGGTGATAGCTGACTCTTCTTCAGCATATATATCCCTTTTAACTGCATACATTCAAATTTTTCACGGAATTAACAAGCAATTACATACAAATCCATATCTCAACTTATATATAAGTGCATTTTAGTATATTGATTTGCAAGTGATGGAAATGGAATTAATACACAATTTCCATTACATATTGTTTGGTATGAGGGGTGTGGTAACGCACTCCATTTCCTTAAGGTAATAATTATCACCCGCATCACCCTTTCTAACCCTGTGGTAAGTTTGGTAACTAAGTTTTACAATAATTATCTTTCTTTATACTAAACAACAAAAAAAAAAATGGTAGCGGTTAGCATACCCTATCTCCTCTCCAATATTTTACTTCCCAACCTTATACGGTTATACCAAACCTCCACGAAATATGACTCAAGCATTCAACACTAATTGTATGTTTGGAATGAATATTGGGAAGAAAACAAATAAGAAGGAGAAAGAGTAACATTAAGTGTTAGCTTTTTTTGGGGGGTAAGCATAATAAAAGAAATCTCGTGTCAAATTGCAGATTGAGGAGGGAAACAAATTTGTTATCATAGGGGTTAAAAGGGTAACAAATGGCAGTTATACTTATAGGAAATAAAGTGTGTTACCACACCTCTCATACCCAACAATGAGTAACGGAAACAATTAATTGATTCCATTTCCATCACTTAAAACACTGTAACACTTGGAGCATGTTTAGTATGAATATATATGGACCTGAAAACAGAATCACTGAAGTATTCCAGTCATAGACTTATAGGTAGTTGTTAGTAAAAGTTTCAACTCAACTACCCTCCTCCAACACATTGGTAAAAGTTTGATTACACAGACTGTTACCTTCCTCAATTTCCCTCTTCACCCTCTCAATTGATTCCATTCCGATTCATCGTAATACCAAACCATCCATCAAACGGTTATCATTACCCTTACCCTCTCTCACTCGATTTCATTCCAATCCGGTTCCTTCATCCACTAGAAATACACCCTAAAATCTGCCCTAATACATACCCTCTCTCACTCGATTTCATTCCAATCCGGTTCCTTCATCCACTCCAAATACACCCTAACACTTTGTTTGGATAGGAAGAAATGGAAGGAAAAGAAGAGAAGAGAAATGGAGGGGGACAAAATCTCTTGTTTGGGTAAAAGATTGGGGGAAGGAAGAGGAAGGAAAGAGAGGGATCCATTTTCCCTCTCTCTATAATAACCATAATCTCTCCAAAATTGGAGAGATTTGGAGGGAAAATGGAGCTCACCTCCCCCTCCCTTTCTTTTCCCTTCCCTTCCTCCATTTTCCCTCCCCTTCTTTTCCTTCCTTCTTTGCTATCCAAACAAAGCGTAAATCTGCCCTAATACACCTAATCACGATCGAATTTTATCACATACTACGTAGTAAGTTCATACAACAATTAATAAAACCACATGATTTGAGGCAGCCTAATTTATACATTATGTTCATATACTAATGCAACATATAAGTATCATTTACTTCGTAGATCATCATCAGCTACAAAAATTCGATACAAAGCTAATCAAATCAAAACAAACATCAATTCAACGCATAATCAAACCAAATACACCTTTAACCTGACCTAAAAATATCCAATCATGATCAAATTCAAGCACATAGCAAGTTCATTCAAAACTAATCAAATTAAAACATACGAACATCAATCCACCTCATAAAAAAACAATCGAACTAATGTTCAAACTAAAATCAAAAACTTACCTCGTTTAATGCGAGAGAACGCAGAAGAAGGAGACGCAGAGGTTGAGGAAGAGAGAGAATTACGACGGAAATCACGAAAGCGATGAAACCAACGCTTAACAGCAGAGGAAACACGGCCGTCAACGGCGGAGGAGAGAGAATCACGGCGACGGTAAAGGTGACGATCGACGGCGACACGGAAGCGTTGGCGGAGCTGAAGCTGCAAGAAGCGAGCATTGGATTTGAGAAGATCGCCTCTGTCGAGGAGATGGTGGTAGTGATACTGATATTGCTGGCCCACCATTTCAATGGAGGAGAGAGAAAATCTGAGTGTGTGTTTGTTTGTGTGTTTGGAGGAGAGAGAAGGAGAAAGAAAGCGACGGTGGTTTAGGTGTTGGAGGAAAGTGATTGGAAAAGTGTGATAAAATGCGCCGGGGAAAAAGGTGGAGTCGTGCGCATGATAGGGGAGATATTTAGGTTTTGGGATAAGGGAGGTTCAAGGTTGTTGGAAACATTGGGGCCCACAATTTAGAAGTTGATTGGATATATTGTTAAGAATTTTTTTTTTCCTTCTTCTTTTTAATCTTTGATATATGATGTTCTTATTTACGTAAATAAATGCAAATTTGTATTCATCTTTGACCGCAAATATTTTAATCTCACACTAGCAATAATTATAGAAATTAAGTTTAGTCAGTGGAAAAGATTGCACCTTTTAACCTTGAGGTTAGAGGTTTAATTTCCACTAGAGGCACTTTGAGGGTGGGGATCCCTTATCTTTCCCTCCTTACTCTCAAAGTGTATGATCCCGTAAATATGATGCGACCAGGACAATTAAGCTAGCCCACTCTGCTCTGAATGAGAGCAAGAGTTGGATTGGTTGCTCAGAGAAAATCCGGGAAAGAAAGGAATTCTCAAGAGGTGAACCAATGAAATAGTGATAACAATAGAACAGAGAAAATGAGATTTAGAGAGAGAAGGAGAGTAATTTCATTAATCATGAAAAGTTCTTACATCATGATGATGGCTTATATAGCCTTACACTGATAATTCAAATAACAGAAAATGGCATAACAGAAAGATTCTCTCCTAAATACAGAGAACTTGATTATTCCTTCTCAACAACTTTTGCCAGCTGTCAACTCAACTGCCACCTCATCTCCTCCCTTTTCCTCATCTTCATTCAATGTAACAGTGCCCAATTCATCCAGACTCATGCTCAGGCTTGTATCAATACCTCCCCTCGAGAATATCCTTGACCCCAAGGATCAAATTCAGGATACTTCTGCTCAATTTCTATGGCATCTCCCCAAGTGGCATCCTCAGGCCCAGAATTTGACCATTGAATCAACCATTGAATCACAGCATGGTTACGGCGTTTGACACTTCTTCTATCTATCACTTTCTCAGGCACTTTAGGAATGGACTGATCAGGAGCATAGATAGGAGTGGGGAAATTGTGGGTGGAATAGGACCTACATACTTCTTAAGTTGAGAAACATGGAAGGTAGGATGTATCTTTGAAGAGCTAGGTAACTGAAGAGTGTAAGCCACCTGCCCTACTCTCTTGAGAACTTCATAAGGCCCAAAATACTTTGTAGCCAACTTCTGGTTCTGCCTAACTTCTACAGAACTCTGTCTGTAAGGTTGCAGCTTCAAGAAAACCCAATCCCTCACCTGAAATTTTCTCCCACTTCTTTTCTTGTCTGCTTGCTGCTTCATTCTATTTTGAGCAGTATGCAAGTGTTGTTTCAACACTGTAATAGTGGCTTCCCTTTTCTGAAAGCTTCTGTCCACACTCTCAACCACACTAGTGCCAGGCAAATAGGGTGTGTGCATGGGTGGGGTCTGCCCATACAAGACTTCATAAGGAATCATCTTAGTAGCAGAATGATATGTGGTGTTATACCAATATTCTGCTAGAGGCAACCATCTAGCCCATTCTTGAGGAAAATCACTGCACAAACATCTCAAATAAGATTCAAGACATCTGTTGAGCACCTCAGTCTGTCCATCAGTCTGGGGGTGGTAAGCTGTAGAAAGTTTCTGTTGGACACCTTGCAGTCTCATGAGTTCTATCCAAAAGTTGCTAAGGAAGACCTTGTCTCTATCTGAAACAATAGCCCTTGGAGACCCATGCAGCTTGTGGATATTATCTAGATATGCCTGAGCCACTTTAAGTGCTGTGAATGGGTGAGATAGGGCAACAAATGAGCATATTTTCTAATCTATCCACCACCACCATGATCACCTGTTTACCCAAGGAATTTGGCAAACCCTCAATAAAATCCATTGAAATCTCATCCCACACTCTATCAGGAATAGGTAAGGGTTGTAATAACCCAGGAGAGGCACTTTGATCATACTTGCATTTCTGACACACATCACATTTCCTCACATATTCTATGATAGATTTCTTCATTCCTAACCAATAGAACAGTGATTGGACCCTTTTTAGGGTGGCTTCCACCCCAGAGTGACCCCCAGTTGCTGAGTTATGCAGCCATTGAAAAATCTTATCCCTTAAGTCAGGTAAGAACCCAATGAAAAGCTTTCCCTTTCTTCTCAACTGATTATGCTGACAAGAATAGTGAGGGTGCTTGGTAGGATCAAGTTGTATTTCCTTGATCAAATCCTGGATATTAGGGTCTTTATTCCACCCTTCATGTATGTCATCCCAGAGAGTTGAGTTGGTTTGTGAGATGATCATAGCTGACAGCTCAGGACTTGGCATTCTAGAGAGAGCATCAGCTACCTTGTTTTCACAGCCCTACTTGTATTCAATCACATATTCCAACCCAGCTAATTTAGATAGCCACTTCTGATGTGGGGGTGTAACTATCTTATGATCTAGCAGAAATTTGAGGCTCTGCTGATCAGTCTTGATAGTGAATGGGTGGAGCATCAGATAGTGTTGCCACTTTTGTACAGCACATACTATAGCCATCAATTCTCTCTCATTAGCAAAGAGATGTAGACTCTGATCAGATAATGTTTTACTAAAGTAAGCTATAGGGTGGCCTTGCTGCATCAGAAAAACACCAATGCCAGTCCCTGAAGCATCAGTCTCAATAGTAAAAGCTTTTCTAAAATCTGGTAAAGCAAGCACTGGTGGGGTGCTCATGACTTGCTTAAGTTTGTCAAAAGCTGCAGAAGCCAGATCATCCCAGTGAAATGCATCTTTCTTGAGTAAATTGGTCAGAGGTTTGCTAAGCTTTCCATAGTCTTGTATGAATCTTCTATAATAACCAATCAGTCCTAAGAACCCTCTCAGTTGTTTGAGAGTCTTAGGTGTTGGCCAATCAGTAATAGCCTTGATCTTCTCAGGGTCAGTTGCAACTCCATGCTCTGAGATAATATGACCCAGGTAGTGTATCTGAGTAGCTCCAAAAGAGCATTTCTTCAAGTTAGCATGCAATGTGTGTGTCTGCATGCATTCCAAGACAGCTTGTAAATGTTCCATGTGCTCTTGCCAACTAGCACTGTACACCAAAATGTCATCAAAGAAAACTAAGACAAATTTTCTGAGATAAGGTTTGAATACAGAATTCATTAATGCCTGGAAGGTGGATGGGGCATTAGTTAGCCCAAAGGGCATCGCCAAGTACTCAAAGTGACCAAAATGGGTCTTGAATGCAGTCTTGTGCACATCATCAGGGTGCATCCTAATCTGGTGATAACCAGATTTTAAGTCAATCTTAGAGAAGAATTTAGTGCCCTGCAATTCATCTAATAATTCTTCAATAACTGGGATTGGAAACTTGTCTTTGATAGTTTCCTTGTTTAGTGCCCTGTAGTCTACACACATTCTCCATCCCCCATCCTTCTTCTTCACCAACACAATTGGAGCAGCAAAAGAGCTATTACTGTCTCTAATTACCCCTTGCTCCATTAATTCCTGCACTAACTCCTCAATAACATCTTTTTGAGTTGCTAGATACCTATAGGGTCTGATATTAATAGCATCAGTTCCCTCCCTGAGTGATATCTGGTGGTCGAATCTTTCCCTACTAGGTGGTAACCCAGCAGGTGCAGCAAATACTTCTGGGAATCTACCCAAAAGAGACTGCAAAGCGTCTTGCTCTGGCTGCCTGTATGCCCCTTCCTCAATCTCAAAATGTAATCTGAGATCTGAATCTTCAGTTACTAACTGCATCATGGACAGCTCACCCTCCCTTTGCAGCAACTTAGAGAGTTGGTCAGCCTGTATGCCCTTCAATTTCTTGTTTGTTGCACCCCTAAGCTTTACCTTCTTTTGATTCAGCTTAAATTCCATTGTGAGATTCTTAAAATCCCATAATATTGGACCCAAGGTAGAAAACCATTAGATTCCCAATACCATGTTGCTACCACTCAAGGGTAGCAGTAACAAGTCTGTAGTGAAAGTGTAACCCTGCATTTTCCATGTAAACCCTTTAATCATGGCATCACACTTAATCCTGCCCCCATCAGCCACTTTCACCCATCTAGGTGGCATGTTTTCCACCTTACACTGTGATTTGAGAGCAGTAGAGGTGTCTATGAAATTATGAGTGCTGCCACTATCCAAGAGAATATGAAGAGATTTCCTTCCAAACTGCCCCATCATTCTCATGGTATGAAAAGTGGTGTTGCCATCTAGAGCTTGTAAAGAGATCTAAGCACATTCAGCCTCAGCATCCATCTCATTCTCATTCTCATTCTCATTGGGCTCCCCCTCCTCATCAGAATCATCCCCTACTTCTATGTGATAGAGCAGGGATTTCTTTCCCTTACATTGATGGCCAAATTCATATTTCTCATTACACCAAAACACAAAGGCCCTTGGCTCTTTTCTCATTCATTTCCGCAGCTGTTAAGGTTTTTCTGGTTGTGTTTGGGTTTGTGTTTAGCTGGTTTGTGTTTGGTTTATTATAAGTGGAATTGGTCCCTCTCCAAGTGGAAGGGGATCCTTGGGTGGATAGGAAGGGTCTAGGGGGAGTAGGTAAGAGAGGTTTGGTTTGAGGTCTTGGTTTTCTAGCTTTATGGGTTGCTTCTTGTAGCTTAGCTAGACAATGAGATTGTTGTATTGTGGTTGGAGAGAACATTCTCACAGCCAGCTGAATCTCTTCCTCCAATCCACCAATATAGCAACTGATTAAGTATTCCTGAGAGAGATTCAATCTGCTAGCTAAAGCATCAAAAGCATCAAGGTACTCTTGAATAGTCCCAGTTTGCTTAAGAGCCTTTAGATCAGCCATAGGATCATCATAGATTTCCCCAAACCTAGCAGTTATACCAACCACATATATACTCAGTCCAGCTACATTGTGGCAGGCCCGTTTCTGAGATTTCGGAGGCCTAGGGGCGGATAAAAAATTGGGGCCCTAGTTAGCTAACTATTGAATTTAATAAGAGAAAAATTGGGTAAGCAAGAAAATAAAATAAAATACGCGATATTTTATTTAAAGTTAAGAAATTTTATTGTACCTACATCAATATTCTCTAACATAGTTCTCTCGATACATAAAGTAGCTAAACCATTCAACCTTTCTTGAGACATTGATGATCTCAAGTAGGTTTTCAATAATTTCAACTTCGAAAAACTTCTTTCGGCAGATGCAACCGTTACCGGCATAGCAATAGTATCTGATAAGCTATTGATGCATTTGGAAAGCAATCGGCATATTTGACAAACTCTAGAATCTCATGTGCTGACATCAACATATTTGGTAAAGTCATTTGCAATACTTTTAATTCTGAAAAAATATCATCTGCATCAACATCAGACAAATTATTATGAGAAAAAGTAGTCTTAAAATTGATGCAAGATTTTCTTAATTCATCATTGTCTAATGACTTTAATTTGTTTGAATCAAACAAAAATCCAAATATATTTTCAAACACCTCTAACTGTTCAAATCTATTTTCCAAAGAGTTTATTGCCATATCAACAACCACCAAAAAACAATTAACTCTAAAAGATTCCTCGGGTGATTGTATTTCTTCATCATTACCATTATTCTCATCAAATTGTCTTTTTCTAAATACTTGACGCTTTGTCGGAAGTGTAGGCTCTATATCCATATCAAATGCAAGGCTTTTAGCAATATTAATACTGGATTCAAAGCCATTATTTCTATACTCCTCAAAATACAAAATAATACCTTCACTTCCTTCATTGCAGCTCCAATACACATAGACTTAGTTTGCAATTTCTTACTCACATTGTTAATTGTGAATAAAATGTCATACCAAATCACAATGCCAAGTAAAAATTCATAACTTGCAACACAATTAGCTAAACTTTCACATTCACTCTTAGTTTTAGCATCATTACCACTAGATTCATACAATTTTTGCAAAGCTAACTTTATTTGAGGCGCTTGAAATCTAATAGCTTTAACACTTTTAATTCGACTTTCCCATCGAGTATTACACAAAGATTTAACAGTTAGACCCGGAACATTATCAACTAAAACCTTCCATTTTTTTTGTAGAACTTGCAAATAATGTGTATATGCGTTGCACAATTCCAAAAAAAGAAATAGCGTTAACACAAGAATGTGCCATATCCGAAAGAGTTAGATTAAGACTATGACAAGCACATGACATATATAAAGCCCTTGGATTTATTCCAAGTAATCTATTTTGAGCCCCTTGATGTTTTCCTTTCATATTAGAACCATTGTCATAACCTTGACCTCTAACATTATCAATATCTAAATCAAGAGACTTGCATACATTTAACAATTCATTAAAAAGTCCCAACCCTGATGTATCATCTACTATTAAGAATTCTAAAAAAAATTCTTCTATTTTTATCTTATCACAAGACACATTAACACATCGTACTATCAAAGTCATTTGCTTTTGATGGCTTACATCCGGGGTACAATCAAGTATCACAGAAAAATATTTAGCCTCTTTGATGATCTTTATCATAGAAATTCTAACACTATGGGCTAAAAGAGAAATCAATTCGTTTTGAATTTGAGGACCAAGGTAGTGATAGTGAATTTCATGACTTTTTATACGTCTAACATGATCTTGCATTATCAAATCAAATTCAACTATCATTTCAATCAAGCCCAAAAAATTACCATTACTATCCTCATACAATTTTCCATTAGACCCATGAAAAGCTAAACTATGTTTAGCAAAACATTTAACAACAGATATTATTCTTATCAAAACTTGTCTCCAACGTTCCTTTTCTTTAAGAATCCCATCTTGCAACTCTTTATCAATGCCTTTGTTCTTATTCAATCTCAATCTTGTTTCATTCCAAGTACTCATATTAGTCAAATGTTCAACACTATTCTCATGTAATTTGAGTTTCTCACTCAAATGTTTCCAATCATTCACTCCATCATTTGCTAAAAGAGTTTTGTTATTTTGAGAAGTGAACAACTTACAACAAAAACAATACACTTTATCAACATGTTTTGAATAAACCAACCATTTTATATCCGAAGTTTCCCCATTACTCAACTTTCTTATAAAATAAGAATACGAAAAATGCCTAGAAAAGCTATCGATAGGAAATGTGAGATTTAATTCTCTTATAGGGCCTTTTTCAATCAAAATATCTCTAGTTTTAGCATAAAGTAAACCCCAATTCCTAGGATCATAGATATCAAAAGGAGGGATAAAATGTTCATTAATACCAACATCAACATTAGGCACATTAGGAACATCAACATTTGGCACATCATTAGGAACATCAACATTTGGCATATCATTATTTGGCACATCATTAGGAACATCGACAATTGGCACATCATTAGAAACATCGACAATTGGCACATCATTAGGAACATCAACAATTGGCACATCATTAAAATTATCATCATTATTCAAATTATTCGAAGGTTCTTCAACTCGACTACTATAAAAAAATTTATCTAATGATCCTCTTTGAGATTTAATCAAATGTTGAGCTCGTTTTCTTTTTTCCCTTTTATCATGACCGGATGCATATTTTCTCGGAAACCGTATTAAAATAAATAACACAATAAAAGTTAAAGAATGATATCACCGAATCTCGCAAGATGCTAGTAGTAAAGCCGAAAAGTCCAAAAGTCGTCAAATAAGAATGAGCAACACCTGACCTACTGACCTACAATAACAAAAAAATCCATAATTAAAATCTATCAATCGACAATTTGACAAAATGTGATACTGATAAGTGATAATTCATAAATCATAAATTTATAGTTAAAAATTTATCAATTGAAGATTTGATAATTCATAATCAATAATCAAATAATCAAATATCATATTCATAATTCAAGAAAACTGATACATTGAGAATTAACTGGAAAAATGTAATTCGTATAGAATCTTATTAATATTTCAGAAATACTCATGTAAAATTGAATAATTCATAAATTAAAATAAATTAATTGCTGGAAAAAAGTTAATTTAAGAACTTACCTATACTCGTATGATTTCTGATTTCATCTTCGATCATCGACGCCAAACTCCATAATTATGGTGAAAATATAATAAATACAAATAGAAGACAGTGATTAAGAAAATTGATATGTGCAGAACAATTGAAAGAGTATAATTTATAGGAAAAATATTAGATTTTGATCCCGTTGAAAATTGATTGCAAAGATGAACGTTTATGGGGGAAATCATCTGTTTAGAATTAATTTGGGAAGGAAGATGAAAAATCAGAAAAATATAGGTAATGATACAAATAATTGATTTCATGAATGAAAATTGAAGATTATACGGTTGTATTTGGTTAGATTATAGGAATTAATTTGGCAAATTCAACTTCCCAAAGATGAAGGGGCTATTTTCTAGGAGGAATTAATTTGAGGAGATTAAGAAGGGAATAATTTGATTGATTAACTGACGCTTACTTCGTTATTCTCAGTATAATTCTTTTTTTTTTTTAAATAATATGAATATGGATTTAAAATTTTGGGGCCCTGGGCGGGAGCCCCGACTGCCCCGGCCCTGCATTGTGGTGTATTTTTCATAAAATTCTGATGCCATAACAGGGCTCTGCCTTCTAAGTGTATAGCAGCAAGAGAAATCTTATTTTCATTAGATATACCATCAAGATAAAAAAACTGATTGCACTTATATAACCATGACTTAAGATCATCACCATCAAATTTAGGGAAATTGATTTTGTGAGTCTAGAAGAATATTGAGAGTAATTTTTCTGTCCTGGTTCAGAAGTGTCAAGGGTTTTCACAGGAGTTTTAATGGGTGAGTTAACATCAGAAATTAATTTAGTAACTTGTACAAACAAACCCACCATCAAATCATGCAATTCAGAAATAGATTTGGTGTTTTGACTGATATTCAGATTATTAGTGCTATTAGTTTCGTTCAGGGTCTTACATTGCTCATCCAGAAGTGATCTGAGTGAGGATTCCAGCTTCTGAAGATCAACAGCTGTCACCGCCCCAGTGTCATCAGTGTTTTGATCGGAGTTCTTTCGTGGTGGCATTGAATATCCAAGGAGCGTATGGCTCTGATACCAATGATGCGACCAGGACAATTAAGCTAGCCCAAGCTCAGCTCTGAATGAGAGCAAGAGTTGGATTGGTTGCTCAGAGAAAATCCGGGAAAGAAAGGAATTCTCAAGAGGTGAACCAATGAAACAGTGATAACAATAGAACAGAGAAAATGAGATTTAGAGAGAGAAGGAGAGTAATTTCATTAATCATGAAAAGTTCTTACATTATATAGCCTTACACTGATAATTCAAATAACAGAAAATGGCATAACAGAAAGATTCTTTCCTAAATACAGATAACTTGATTATTCCTTCTCAACAACTTTTGCAAGCTGTCAACTCAACTGCCAGCTCATCTCCTCCCTTTTCCTCATCTTCATTCAATGTAACAGTGCCCAATTCATCCAGACTCATGCTCAGGCTTGTATCAAAATACCGGACCAATAAACCGTGAGGGTTGAGGTTCAATCATGGTCCTCCTTATTACCATTAAAAAAAATGTAGATATGTATGTTGGAGAACGAGGAAGGCGTAATGTCCATGGGTTCTAATTTAAGAGGTAGATTAGTAATTTAAAGTTTGATTAAAAAACAAAGAAAGAAAAATAAGCATGTGGGTGAAAGTGAAAGGAAAAATCTTTATTATCGGCTAATAACCACTTGAAAAAAGAGACAATAGTCACAAATCTTGCAATACAATATCGTTACAGCTTACAAAGTTACAAGGTACCAAAGGGGCAAAATGGCCCAATTGTATGATTTAAGTGTTGAATATTTGGATGGTATCATTGTAGTACACGCTCTATAACAGAGTGACATTGGGTAAATGTGAGTTTAGTTCTTTATGAATTCGATTCTTAAGCCTTTTTTTCCCACCTTTGTGAGATTAATTCGAAATACTTTATACAATCATATAATAGTCATCCTAATATTGCTCATTAAAAGGTTATATTACAATAAGAATAACAACTCTATGTTCAAACTCAAATGATATCTTGAATCTAATCGAAAAAGGTCAACCTTATGATCTCAAAGTTATAAGGTGAATTCCTTACCAATTACACCAAGCCACGCTTTATTTAAGCGTTAAGACATAACTAACCTTGTGTTCATCTATATAGCTTCCCACAAGTGGAACTTAATACATAAATTGTTGATCGCTTATAAGAAGTACGGAGTATTATATTTGGGTCAATTACTAATATTTAATGAACCTATAGGGGTAAGTCGGGTAACAAGCTAATTTCATTAATAGAATTCAACCATCCTGGCTTTTACTCCCGATCAGCAGAAAGCCAAAATTGTTGCTATTAATTATAAAAATTTTGATTACTCATACAAGCTAGCAATTCGGTGAAAAGAATAGATATACAGTACACATACAAATCAATACAGAGTAATTTATGTACAGAGTATCTTACACTGCCTTATTATTGAACTTGAAGGGTTCAGAAAATAGAACTTACGTCTAAACGCTAAACCTTATTCTTGAATGAGAAATGACCTTGACAAAAGTCAACAGTCTCAACACAGGAAGATCTGATAATTTGGGGAGGTACCTCCCACGTTAAGGTAGTTAACATCCACAGCAAGTTCTCCAAATTTTTCTGTTAGGATCAAGCAACTTATTCAAATGACTTTTACTTTTGAAAAAACAAATTTAAGATTACAGATAAAAGAGCCAAACCTTCATATAATGTCCGTACAAACTGTACATAATCAGGTATGAGATCTCTGTATATAATTCCATCAGGACGAGCATCCAAAACAACCAACACACCTGATAGAAAGAAAATCAAAACCCTGTCAGCAATCTAGAAGAATATAATTGGTGGTAGTTGATCTCCATTAGCAAACAAAGTTAGGAAACATCAACATTCAAAGTGAGCATAATGATGTTGTCTCAATTTCCAGAGAACCCCACCCTCAACAATAAAACAAAAAACATAATCCAATGATATTCAGATCATGATGTTCATTTGTAGATCTAAATGTAATAAGATACATCAGTTACAAGGAAAAAAAGTAGAATTATGAATTTACCAGGCGCATCCCAAGCTTTACTCGAATTGCTCGGCATAGGAGCTAACCAAAGAATGTTCCGTAAAGTCATTGTACTGTCATAAGCTAGATCAGAACCTGCAAACATTAGAATGATATTAGCAAACTAAAATCAGTATAGCTACGACTTTAGCCAATAGTGTCAGAGAAGTCATTTCAATACTACAGGAACTAGGAAATCAGATTACAGCTTTGTTCTTCTCACTTTTTAATCACTCAACAACAAAGCCTTAATTTGGGGTCGGCAAACATGAATAGTTATATGGGCTACCCAAGTTCAGTTCAAATAGGTTACATTTCTGGTCAATAAGGGCTAAGTTCAATTAAAATAGGTTACAATCCTGGTCAATAAGGGCTACCCAAGTTCAATTCAAAACTACAATAAGTTGAAATAACTGAAATTTAAAGATAATAGGCATTCTTGGCTCTTAGGATATTTTTCCAACCAATCAGCAATGGCTAGTTCATGACTTAGATCACATTTGGACAAGCTAACAGAAAACAAGTTATAATTATTATTGTCATTCATATTTAAAACCGTTTAAAGCAGGGCCTCCCCCCCTCCTTTCTCCCTTTCTCTCCTCTTTCAGTCTTCCTTGATGAATCTGGCAGTAGGCATCCCCACTTTATTTGGCCACTACATTTATTTTATTTTGTTACATTTGTTTCCAGAATTCTTCCTATATGATACAAATTCCATCAGTCTTTTCTAGTCATTTTCTAGGGTTGTTAAAGATTATACCATTGCCACAGTTGGCCTTATGGACCGGGCAATGGAGCTTTTGCAGGGCTTAGAAATTAGAACAGTTTAATCTCATTCCCTGACATGATTCCCCTTTCCCAAGTTCTTTTCCAAGATTATTGGGTTGGCTTCTTTGAGTTTAATTTGGTGCTGTACTGTACAATTGAATGTGGTTGACACACTCCCAAGTCCTTTCCTAAGACTACTGGATTGATTTCTTGGGCCCACCAATTTTACTTTTACTTCTCAATGGACCCAGATTCCCAACTTCTAGCGCCCATGGAGGCATGGATTGTAGTTTTTTTTTTGTTTTTTTTTTTGTTTTTTTTTGGGGGAGTGACTCTGCTTACTGAGAATATTGAACTCCAGCTTCTCTAGTGTATACAGTCTGCTTGCTGAGAATATCAAGCTCGAGTTTCTCAAGTATGCAGAGCTTCATCTTTTTCTTTTTTTTTTTAAAATTTTATTTTTTATAACTCAAGAAAATGGAATCTCAAGAAAAAAAGGAAAAAGAAACAAGAAGGAAAGAGAGGGGGGGGGGGGGGCTGTTATTTTTTATTTTTAGAAACCACAGATCTGTTTAAGAAAGAACTGAAAGGAGTTCTGATCATAGTAACTGACCTCTTTGGCAGTACCCCATGTTATATGGAAAGACTTTTTTGTTATAGGCTGGGTATTCCTTAGCATGGAACCTGCCATTTTTTTTGGCATAGAAATAATGCAGCAAGTGAGAAGAGAGTTCAGTATCTAAATAAAGGATCAGGGGAACAGCAACAAACTAATTAAAACAAGCACCCATTGTACTCATTTTCTGTTAAATCCAGGTTTCGCTATCTATCCAAGGAGTCTACATAAAAGAGTTTGTTTTGCAATGCAGATTGCATATATTTTCCATTAACCACTGGTATGATACTTACTATGCATTAAACAATTTCTTTATTTGTCTCTGAATACATATATTTTATCAACAGCAGAATAGCTATCCAGGCAAATCTTTCACCCACTAAGAAAATTTCATCATAACATCAAAAACATCTCAAGGAGTACCAATTCCAAAACCTCAATAACTTTTTAACTTTTTGATCCTATAAGTCACCAAACACCTCACATTCTCGTTCCACCAAATTCTGACATTTGACATACTCTTATATTTACATAAACCAAAATCCAGTCCAACTGTAAACCTCTTAGGCTCTTATACATTTCACTTTTCAAGGGTATAAAGAGAATTGTACATAAAGCAATCACAAACAATTTTATAGCCACAAAGTCGAGGAAAATTTTTTTGGCACACAAAATACTATATTATCTAGCACCATGGAGTTTAAACAATATCATACTGCAACTTCAATTACAGCTTTAAATTCATGATTGCACTGTACAAATTGCCATGGATAAGATAGGATAGGTCGTCCTCTCTACTATGCTCATTTCTAGAGCAGTATAGTTACAATAGGAATTTAACTTACAATATTCCAAGTCTTCCGGTGTCTTTGGCAAGAAAGAGGTGACCATGGAAGAAGTCGTAACGATTTAAAGAAACATTAAGTCCCACACTTGGACCCCGCGAAGCAATCATGTCAAATAAGAAAACAAGATAAGCATTCAACTCCTGCAAGTTGAATAACATCTCACATAATCTGTGAAGAACAAAGAAAATCATAATGCTATGTAGTATTAAAGAATCTAAAGATTTTTAGTTTAGTTCGTACATACATCGTTTATGAAATGCCAGCCATAGGGAGTTCTGGTGAGCTGACACTTACATTCCTTTGATCCTTCAACATCAGGCACCTATTACATGGATTCAGAGTGTCAACCAAGCATATACTTATGAAATGTATTTTTTTTTTTTTTAACTGACCTGGCAATATGGATTCAGGGAGTGAAATGCAAACTGTAAGCAAACAAAAAAATAAAAAAAATCTTCTTCTAGATTTTCGAAGCTTCCATTGGACAATTCATATTTAAGGGTTCCTATTTCATTCTTTCAAATCAGATTTGTACCAGTAATTGGTTAATTGCTCAAGTGAAGAACAAAACAATTAAATAAAAAAAACTAATTCACTCTTCACATCCTGTTAAAAGCCACCCCGTATCAGTAATCCGAAGTTGTAAATCCGCATAAATATCACTCATCAAAGCCACACCTCATAATTCACATAAAAAACCAGCCTAATCTTAAGTGCACATTATCTTATACAAGACCTACTTTATATAGAAAATTTTCACTTACAGTTTTGGAGGGAAATCTGTTTGGTTTCCAATAGAAATCAATCAATCATATCTAAGCACAAGAATCATTCATTCTGACTCTCCAACGACTTTTACCTACGGTCCTCCCCCTCGAACACAATATCTATAATACATCCAGGCTAATGGCCAGTTTGTAGCTATGTACCTCCGTTTCATGTTTTTTGCAACTTTGGAATATTTTATCCCTCTCAAATAATGGCCAAAGTTGCAAAAAACATGAAAGAGGTAGTATTTATTTTTTCAAAGGAGCAAATTTTTTTAATTAATTTTTGGAAACCAAATGACTAAATGAGCATTCTTATTGTTATCATCACCAAATTCAAACAAACATTGTACAAATCCTGCACAAATATCGATTTCTTTCGCGCTAACAACTGCGTGATTGTCATTAACTAATTCGTCTGATCAATTATTGATTCTTAAAATTAATAGCATAAATTTCCAAAATCCAAATTATACATTATACAAATGAAAATCGGAATTTCTGAAAAAAGAAAACTCACAGGTATGATCGTAGGATCTAGGGCACGATGAATAACAGCAGGATCACCACCAGAATCAACAGAAAGGCGAGCAAGCTCCAAAACCGAGGAAGGCGGCGACAAAATCAACTCATCCTCTTCATTCTCTCTCCTTTGACCAACAACACTAACCATTGACCTCCGCTTAACATCAACATCCTGAATTGACGTAGAATTGAACGGAACAAGAAATCTGAAGCAAGACCTGAGTTGTCTGGCAACAATTGGATTAACCTGGGAAGCTTGATCTTCGGGGCCGAGGAGAGAGAGTAGGTCTGCAACTGTGGCTTTGGGAGGTCGAGAAGAAGGGTTGCGAGAGGAGAGAGAAAATGGGAATGGTGGTTTAGGGTTTAAGGAGAAGGAAGAGGATGAAGAAGATGAAGAAGATGAAGTGAGTGTGAAGGAGAGAGAAAAGAGTAACGCCACTTTGATTGAGGAGGAGAGAGAAATGTGCCTCATTTCAGGAGTTTCTTATCTTTTGTTTTTGCGCGCTACTCGTATCTCTCCCCTCCGGTTGGTTGTTGCTGGTTTCCCTCTCTTTCTTGTTTCGGATTTTCTAAGGTTGTCGCGGTGTATTGGTCTAGGGAAAAACTTGTATACGATGAGTGTATATGGATTAGATTATGAAAACTTGTATATGACGATGAGTGTATATGGAAAACTTGTTGTATGCAATGGTTGCTATGTTATCTAGTTGTGTGCCCGATTACAAACCATGATGTTGAATTTATGTACATTAAACATAACAAATTGGTTGTGGAAACTTACGCATAAGATAGTCATAATAATGATTAATGAATGCTTGCAAAATTTTCCAAAGATTGTGTATTGGACATTCATCAACTGCCATCCACCTGAGTAATAATCATCAATAATAATAATAATAATAATATGTACATTTGTATATACACATATGTATAGTAATAAATAATCAAAGATCACTAATCCGTAGTTAAAAATCACTCATTAATAAGTTCAGTTCAGTTCAGCTGAATTCAGTCAATCGGAACAGGCCCCAAGCATTATATTCTATGAAATCTACTTTGATATTTTAGCAAAACAAATCATAGCTATGTAGCAATTCTTGTTGTTGAAAGCTTTTCCTCTAATTAGGGTTTGATCCGGTTTGAACCCAAATTAGTTAGAGTCTAATAGGCTCTAGAATACCATTATGTTTGCATTAAAAAAATCAACTTGTACTCCTCCCTCCGTCCCAAAAAGAACGATCCATTTGGGTTGATTACGCCGGTATTAAGGAAGTTAAGTAAAAAGAAGTAAAAGTATATTGGAAAGATAAATTTACATGGGGTTTGTAAAAAAATAGAGAGAGGAAGTAATAAAATAACATGGAAAATGAAATTTTTATATGGGGAAGCTAATTTTGCACAAATATAATTGCAAATTGGTGGTGTTTTAATGCAAATGGGTGGCTTCAAAAAAAAAATGCAAATAGGTCATTCTTTTTGGGACAAAGTTTTGGCCAAATGGGTCGTTCTTTTTGGGACAGAGAGAGTACTTTTTTTCCTTTAGTTTAGTCATTCTCGCTTTTCTTCTTCATCTTTGCTCCTTCATACGACTTAATTTTCATTAATGTATTTGGATTAACAAATATTAATATATTGCGTCCGTAAAAAAAAAATGGAATGGAGTATAACCTATGGAAATAGAATGTGCTTAGATTATGCCAACAGATCTACCCTTATAATGAGCGGCAGGTAGAAAATGACGAGGATACAACTCTTACAACGAGAACTACGGTGCATAATTACACATGGAAAAACCTTGATCAGAAATTTTGAGTTTTACCATTAATGTTTAATAAGCATAAAAGTATCGTGTGAACCGTAAGATATTAGTACATAAAACAAGAAATTGCATTTGTGCCCATTAGAAGGGAGTAACATTAAACCATATACACTTTGGATGCAATTGTAAAAATCTACAAAACCAGTAATAAACCTTTTAATAAGCTTTAAGTTCCAAAATCTCAGCATATGAAACTATGAAAACTCACTATCATTACTCTGGCTATCTTCGAATCAATTTGCAATGTACATAGCCATTATCATTCGATAAATAAAGTTTGGCTTTTACATGATTTCATTACTGTTCATGATTTTATCTTGGTTCTTCAGAAATTTTCCATGATCATATAGGCACAAGCCCATTGCCAGCACAAGCCACTGCACCATTCGTATATCATGCTCCGTCAAATCCTTGTTGCTTTGCTATCAGCCAACACTATCTGAAGCCAGCACAAGTACTATGAGATGAAAATCCCCCCAGTTCCCAATGGATAATACGTAGTAATAAATTACATATACTCTGATATCACAATGGAGAAAATACCTTCAATAAAAGATAGAGACCACCAATTTTTAAAAAGAAAGAGCTTGAGAAAATGAGGTAACCAAAATTTACTAGCACCAAATCACCAATATATGATATAGAGAGTACAAAATACTCTGCATATGATTATATATTTCTTGCAAAGATTTGATGCTACAACCAAGTTTCTCTTCTGTATTCTCGTGGGGATAGAAGTCATAAAACATCAAATGCCATGTTTTATCAAAGCCTGAAAAGATACTCCCACTGAAGAAAAAAACTATCCCTCCCCAAATAATAATTGCCATATTGTTTTAACCCCTTAAACTTTGTTATAAAACTGTAAGACATAAATCATGAAAAAAAAAAAAATCTTTGTACATTGTAATCAACCAACTCCTATGCCCTCCCCGTCCCTTAAAGTAGGAAACTTTATGGGGACTTTAACAATAAAGCATAAAGAATTACTATTTCAAGAAAGGTGGCAGTCTTTCTGTACATCCAAAAATAGTATTCATGTCAATTTTCTGTTGTCCTTAATTCCTCTTCTTCAGGCAATTAGATGTTAATTCCCTTCTATATAACTCACTTTCTACATGATCTTGAAACTCTTGATCACCTACCATAACAAAATTTTCCCCTCCTGTTTCTCAAAAAATTTCCCCACAAGTACCAAATGTAAGCTTAGCTAGATTTAGAAGCCTCCACATCAATTACAATATAGCTAAAAATATAGGAAGAGTCGAAGAGCCATGACATGATATACTTACCGAGAATTATAAATTATGTCAATAAATTAGGTTATATAGCATCAACAGCTTTAATTCCAGCAGTCTTGTCCCAGTCCTCAGGAGCAGAAACATCAGACATAATTTTTTCTTGGCCACGCCAAAGAATCTGTGACAAGATCAGTAAATTCATAAATCAAACTTTTGTGCTTTCTATAAAGATGATGCAAATCAACTTTATGATGGAACCACTATATAGATGAAATCATACAAGAAACATGTAAGTATGTAGCACAACAAAATTTAGAAGGCATCAGTCATGAAGAAACTTGCCTTGTCTACAACACCAAAGTCCTTGGCTCTGGTTGCATCCATGTAAAATGGCCTTCTCATCACATTCGCAACAGTTTCCTCAGACTGATAACATAACAAACAAATTGATTGAATAAATGCCTCACGAACAACTTTTGTTTTAGACAGCAAGAAAATCTATGTCATACTTACATTTTCTGTGTGCTTAGCCAATAGTCTCACAAGAGTGTCCCTGTTTATAACTACCTGCAACTCAACGAGATCAAATTCCCACACCAGTTTTCAAGCATAAGACTTGAGTTAATTTTAAAATGACAAGCAGCTATATGATATTTACTTTCACGTTACAAGACCTCTTGAATCTACAATCAGATACAAACTGATCAATTATATATAGTGGCATACCTAACTTAGACTTTGTCCAGCTTTGCACTGTGAAATAACTGTTTTAATACCAGGATTTGGATGCTGCCAATACTTTAACATGTTGTCCAATATTAGAAACATATGAACAGATAACATTATCAATGTTTACAGGAATCCACGATCACATCTGGGATCAGCAACGAGATTCAAGCAGTTGAATTAAGGCACACACCCTACTCAAACTTTAGTTTACCTCCATCATGATAGCATAATGGTTTCAAATTAGGTTCACCACATTGTGATGATGACCTAAGCCAATAGAGACAGCATTTCACATAAGTCTGAAATTTTACTGGCTTGGGTCACCACATCAGCATGATGACTAGGGTGCTCCAACACTATTAACCTAGAACAGATCCCAGCCAGATAAAGAAACAGCAAGCTAAGACCATGGCTGCCCCCTAATGTTCAAGTAAATAAGAAAGTGGAAATAAAACTTGAGGGCTTAAATGGGAGCTCTCAAGATTTAAAGCCCGGTATAGAAGTCATATGCAGAGAGAGAGAGAGCAAATTGGACTAGCACTTTGTTTGTATAGCAAAGAAGGAAGGAAAGGAAGGGTAGGGAAAGAGGAAAAAGGTGAGGGAAGAAAAAGAGAAGGGAGAGGGCTCCATTTTCCCTCCAAATCTCTCCAATTTTGGAGGGATTATGCTTATTAAAGACAGAGGGAAAATGGATCCCTCCCTCTCCTTCCCCTTTCTTCTCCACCCCCCCCCCCCCCAAAAAAAAAAAAAAAAAAAACAAAAAAAAAAACAAACAAACAAACAAACAAAAAACCAAACTAGAGAAATTGTCCTCCTTTTCTCTTCTCTTCTTTTCCTTCCATTTCCTAGTATCTAGACAAAGCATAAAGCTTTACATGTCTAGGAAAATGGATCCCTCCCTCTCCTTTCTCTTTATCCCTCCCCCCATCCCCAATTTTTTACCCAAACAAGAGAAGTTGTCCTCCTTTTTCTCTTCTCTCTTTTCCTTCCATTTCCTTGTATCCAAACAAAGCGTAAAGCTTTATATGTCTAGGAAATATGATGAGGTAAGATATCGACATAAGTATCTCTTATTCGCTAGTCAATCTAATAATCATCCCGGATAATGTTTCAGTGTTTCACTATCTCACAACTTTGGACAGGAACCATATGGCACTACTAGTTAACTTTTCGGGCCATTTCAAATCACATTAATAAAACAAGTTCAATGAGTCAGATGGTGTACATAAATAAAACTTCAAAATACAAGCTGATTAAGAGTCTTATAAACTGGGATGAACCTCAACTTCTTTGCCCATGTAACTTTATCTTTCATTTCCATTCACATACATTCTACATGTCATCATGCATGTCTTATGGTGCATGACTCATGCCAGGAGCAGTGATTTAAAATTGGGTGTACCATATTATAATAATACAATTGCAATGCCTATAAAATTAAATTATAGTGCTACCACAGGTAAAGTTAGGGCGTTGTTAGGAATATACAAAAAACCTAGGCAACGAGGTATGGGATAAATTTTACATCTTAAATACACTAGATAAAGATTATATCCAGTGTAATTTTATAATGACACTTCTGCTTCAGAATAATTTACCCTCACAGCTTTCAAGCATAAATAATATTTATCAAAAATGTTAATAAATTTGCAACAATGGAATTTGTTTTGCCGGGAAAACCCCATAGGAAGAATATGATACAAACATACCTCTTTTGCACGAATTGCAACATCACTTGCAGGCATTAACCCAGATGATGGTACACGAGGTTGTTGAATCATGGCTGAAAAGTGTTTAAGCAAAATAATATGTTCACCTCATGCATAAAAAGTTTATAACCACATCAAACAAATATAAAGTGCAAACCTTTGGCATGCGGCATCATAAACCTTTTTCCCTTGGTTCCGGAAGAAAGAAGCAGGCAA